CATAGGCCCGATAGTGGGCTCTCAAGTGTGTTCGGTCAGATTCATCAGTGATTTCCTCCACCTACGCTCTAGCCATCTCCCAACCTGCTTCATCGCCCTCAATTCAGGAGTATACCAAGGGGAAGAGCGGGCTCTGCCCGGTGGGAGAGGGCGCTTAGGAGCGATTGTGTCTACAGCCCTGGTCATCTCCCCATTCCACAGTTCAACCAGAGCCTCGACAGGATTTCAGCTGCTTTAATACCAGAAACTACCAAACCATGAAATAATTACTGAATGAATTGCTAAGTAATTAGCGAAGTATTTACTAAAAAATAATTACTGACCTGAAGAACTTTCCCATGTGGACTTTCATCAAAAACCAGTGTCTGCTGGTATAAAGGATCAAGGGTTTTCCGGGCAATCCTTGTCTTCTTCTTGGCTATACAAGCTCCATTTTCCAGCAGGTACACTTTGACATACGGAGCTGTGAATTATAACTTGTATCAGTCCTTAAGTCATAAATGAATGACTCCCTTATTTGAAAGAGATTTATATAAGATTGATGGGCTATGTACATTTTCTGAAAGCCAGAATGTAGATTGGCACAAGTTGCCTACTGCTAATTGCTTTAATTGTGCAGTATTTTTTTAAGCTTGATAAAAATGTGACAATAAATGGATGGAAAGCTTAGGAAGGAGGTCTTCTTATGAATGTACATTAAGCAAAAAATAATGCAGGTGGTAAACTATTCTGCTCACTGCAGAGCTATCTGGAAATGGTGATTTTCATTATACCAGTGATTATGTTAATGAATTTTTGAGCTACAAATTACAATTTACTGACTTAAGTGTTAGTGTGTCACTAAAGAACTGGGTTGTTTAGCGTTCATCAGATTTGTCACTGGTTTCCTTTCCTTTTGTCCTGCATACTTCTTAGTCATGCAATTTAAAACCCTTTATGGTGCCCACACTGCAAAGTAAAAGTCTTTCTAAATTTCAGCCATAACCCTTTGGAGTCTATTCTATTATCTGTTTTATAGTACAATCCTAAACTTCCTACTCAGAAGTATGAACCATTGAGTTCAATGAGGTAGACTAAAGCATTGCAGCCTTAGATGCTTCAAAAAATGGAAACGTGATATTCTTTTCAGCACAATTTATATTTATTAAGTGCATAGCCTACTTCATGCTTGGGACATGTAGCAAAACAGATAAACATATCAAAAGTATGTTGCCACATACTCCTGCACTCACGCCCAGAATACATTTAAGGCCATTTGATGTTTTCATCTTTTTGCCATGCACCGTAAGTATCAAGGAGGCCACGCTAAACATTTCCAGTCAGTTTGAGATTGTGGCAGAACAAACCACAGTGTTTGGCTTGTGAGGATGCAGCCATTTGGGGTAAAACTCCATTCTTCTCAGAGTTGTCTTTGCAGGACCGGAGTACCAGGCACATCTTCCAAGCCATGTGCCTTCTAAGTGGATCTAGCCATTGCTTTCTTGAACGTAAGATGTGGAGTCTACAGTAGAGTGGTGTCCTCCTACCCTACTGCATCTACTTTAATTTCCAGGAAATGAGAACTGGCAGTGCGTCGCTAAGGGCAGATGCACCTTCAGTGATGCCCAACTCAAGAAGAGAGAAAGGGCAGTAATTAATTGCTTGTAAGATAAGAAAGGCAAATACAGTTAAAAGACTGGAGACGCTTCTGGCATCAAAGCTGCAGCATCACAACGAACTGGAGAAATGTACTGAACCTCATCACATTACACATTTTCCTGTGCTTCACCCGGCAGACTTTCCTTACCTGGAGTAGATTTAGAACCAGGCTTCTGTGTTAGGCCTCGGGCTCTAATGACTTCTACTTCTAACTGGCCTTTCTTATCCACCATTCCAATCTGAATATCACCTAAAATAGAACAAGGTGGCATGATTATCCTTTTAATCAGCACAACAACGATCATAGATATTTTTGCAACAAGATCCAATAGTTTTATGGATTTCCCTGAATTTTGCTGGTTATTAATTAATTAATCATCCCAGAATTCCTGCACCATCGGTTTGCTTTTTAAATCTTTATTTTGGAAATACTTACTGCATTTTAACTCAGCAACACTATCCACCTTTTATGGGATGCTGTTTAGAATAGTTCACATATGTCAACAACTCATGACTTCATTAAGCCATGGGTTCTTGCCTTACCTTGAACTAACCCATGCTTTGGCTGCCAGACATTTGAAAAACTGCTGATTTTTTGGTGAATTCTTAGGCTGTTTGGTTCATGTTGAGTTTGGCTGTTCTTTCTCTGTATTGCAAACGCCTTTGGAGCACTGTAATACTGGCATTTGGGCATTTTGCACTGCTCTTGCCTGCCACCTCTGTTGCCTGGTGGAGCAAGCTATCAGCAGACCAAAGATCTGGGTTCTCATGTAAAGTCTGTCCATGGTTTAAACCACCCTAAGTTTACAATCTAACAATAAACTATGAACTTTCCTTGTAGGTTGTTTATTGTTAACAATCCAAAGTTAACTCCTAGTACTGTTTGCTTATATTTGCATAATTCAACAACTCCAAATATAGGTTGTTATTGCATGTAATAATCAGATATAAATCAACAAATAAATATCAAGCAAATACATTGGAATAATCAGAAACTGTAAAAGGAATAATGAAGGTCCTGGTTCTAAAGATAGCTGGCTTAGCTAACTAGAAAAGCACAGACATGTTTAATCTTTGGCTCTCAAAGACCCCAAGGGGAGTTGGGCAATATCAGAGCTTCACAGAGCAGCTTCTGCTCAGTCCCCTTGGATTTAAATTCTTGAGAGCCAAATGGCACAGTACGTCACTTGCATGGCAAGTAGCTGAGGACTAGGGTTGGTGTTGCCTAGTGCAACACTTGAGCCTGCACTTAGATCGTGATCCCCAAGGCAAAGAAGGAAGGCCCTTCTCTTTTGCTACCCCCAGGCCTTTCAGGATTTCAAAAAGCAACATGGGCAGGTGTCATCTTTCCATCCAGGTGCACACTGGTCCCTGTCCAGATTGTGGCCATGAGCTCTTACACCAAAGGAAAACACAGTCAAGTGCTACATAAGTAACGCAATGCGATGTGCATAGTTTGGCTCTGAACTGAGAGGGCTCTAAGCAGAGCAGTCCCAGCCGTGCTTTCTGGGCAAAAGCTTCTTACGAGGAGAGCTGCTCTTACATTTCGACAAACCGCCAGAACCTTTGGGAGATGAGCTGGGCAGCCAAGAGGGCCCACGCGCTTGGTGGCACAGCCCCCTGGCCTTCCCCCAGCCCAATGCCGCGAGAGGAAGCACCGGGCGAGGCCGAGTTCCTGGTGGGCAGGCTCAAAGACACTGGCAATCATGGAGCAAGGGGCAACAGCAGCAGCCTGCCCCGGCAGTGCTCTTCATAGGGCACGATCATCGCAAATACGCTAAAAAGATTGGATGACGAGGCTGGCGTCAGCCGTGGCGGGCCGCCCATTTGTCGCCCCCTGCCAGATGCTGAGGCCAGGGCTGTTTACCAGTAGACACTCCGAGAGCCTGCCCTGGCTGCAGCGTGCGAAGCAAGGAAAGCCCCACTTGTGCACAGGTCATGGTGGCAGGCAGGCTATGCTTGCCACTGCCGTGCTGCATCGCACGCTTTTGAGGCCAGCTTCCCCGGGAGGGCCTTACCCTAAAAGGCGGCCTAGGGATGTTTACATAGGGACTCGACCTGCTTGCCTGTGACCTCCAGCTTGATCTAGTTCTTTTTTTATCACTTGGAAGTTAGTCTAGTGAGTTCATTAGAGTTCCCTTCAAACAAAAAATATTTAAGACTGTGTTCCTAGCTTTTTCTAACAACAGATCCCCGTGAAATAAACTTGTAGATTTCAAAACATGAATTACACAGCTGGCCATGGGAGGCGTCTGATGTTTGGCCTTCTGGATCTGTATTTGGCAGCAGGCAGCTGGGAGTGTTCTTGCATTATTTTGCAACTGAGTTCCACTTGCAAGAAAGAAATCCCAGTATGTCTGGTTTCAGGACAGGACAGGACGTCAAGGGCCAGGGAGAGCTGCAGCATCAAGGTCAGAGATATCAGCCAGGTCTTTTCTGAAAAGGCAACATGCTGCTTCAGACATGGAGGCCCCCCAGCCAAAGCCAATCCACGGGGAAATTCCCTCAACCATGTGCTAGGAGTGCACATGGTGTTTATTTAAATCTAATATTTGCTGTGTAACAGGCATCAGCAGGGGGCACCACAGCACACTTGTTTCCATTTAGAAAAACGATTCTTGTCTCAGGTATAATAGAAGTCTTCTAAAATGTCTCTTTTTAAGGGAAAATGCCTCTGTCAGTTTTCTAGGTTAAAATCTGCCCCGAGACTATTAAAAAAAGGCAAGTTGCTTACCTGTAACTGTCATCTTTGAGTGGTCATCCATGCATTTACACATTATGGGTGATGCGCCTGGGCAGTGCCTGCTGCTGGGAAGATTTAGTAGCTGTAATAGTTTTTGGCGGGAACTCTGCACCCCCCGCCCCCGTAGTATGAATGGTCGGAGTGCCCACCCTTTCCCCAGTCAGCTGAAGACCATCCGTTCATCTCCAAATGGAGACAGCCAGTATTGAATCCGGCTCATAAAAGGAAAAAGGATACATATCTATATAAGTTCACATATTCATAAATGTGTGTGTGTGTGTATGTGTACACATACCGAGTGTGGTTGGTGGGCGAGTTGTGTGAATGCACGGATGACCACTTGAAGAACAACAGTTACAGGTAAGCAACCTGCTTTTCTTCATCGTGGTCTCTGTGCATCACACATTATGGGTGATTAACAAGCTTACCACACCTGGAGGTGGGACAGTGTTGTCACTGGAAAACTGTGGAGAGGACAGCGTGGCCGAAGGAGCAGTCCTGTCTGGCCTTGACATCCGAGCAGTAGTGCTTAGTGAAGGTGCACAGAGTAGACCATGGGGCCAGTTTGCAGATATCTTGCAAGGGGATGCCCACATGAGGCAGAAGAAGCAGCAACAGCTGTTGTGAAGTGTTCTTTAGGAGTAATAGTTAAGTCCATTTTTGAAAGGCGGTAAGCCAAGCCAATCACCTCAATGATTCATTTCGAAAGTCTCTGGGTGCTAACAGGAGTTCCTTTGTCGTGTTTTGAGTATTTGACAAAGAGTCATTTGGTTTTTCTAAATGACTCAGTTCGGGGTCAATAAAAGGCTAAACAATGCCGGACACCCAGGCTATGTAGGGAGTGCACAGTTGGTGTTGACGGAGTGGGAAAATAAGCCAGTAGCACAATGTCCTGATTCAAGTGAAAAGGAGTTGCAACCTTGGCAGAAAGGTTGGATCGGTGTGCAGGACCACTTTCTCCGTGTGGAAGTTGAGGTATGGAGGGTTGACACGAAGGGCACACAGTTCATTGGCTCTAAGAAAGCTGTTTTCCAAGACAGAAGGCGGAGATCAGTTGTTGCTAATGGTTCAAATGGAGGCTTCATGAGAGGCTGCAGAATGACAGAGAGGCTCCACGTCAGGACTACTGATCAGATTGGTGGCTGAAGGTTTTGTAATCCACATAGAAATCGATGCAAAGATAATGCAAGAATACAGACGAACCTCCAATGCATCCTCGATGATGCGAGATAGCTGCAATATACACCTTAATGGAAGAAGGTTTAAGACCCCCATGGTGCAACAATAGTAGAAATTGTAGGATGTTCTCGATGGCAGCAGATTGGGGTAGAAATCGGTTGGCGGCAGCAAAGGAGGTGAATCACTTCCATTTGGCACTATAGGAGTGCCGTGTGGTCAGTTGTAGTGCAGACTAGAGAATAAACTGTATGTCAGGGTGAAAGTTGGTCGGGTACGAGGATGATGTTGGTAACGATGTTGATACTGGGGGCAATATTGGTGTGGAAAGCTCTGATGCTGCCCATACAGTTGTAGAAGTAGGTGTCAATCCTGAAGAAGGTGCATACATCGAATCCAAAGAACTGTCGGTATTGATGCAAGAGAAACAGTGAATGGACGAGCCAAGCAATGGGATTTAGAGAGTGGAGGTCTGGATGTTGTAAGGCACTGTATTCCTGAGTGAGAAGATGAGGAACTTAAGGTAGGCGAAGAAATTTGTTGTGTGCCAGTTAGAGAAGAGAGGGGAACCAGGACTGACAGGGCCACCAAGGGGTGATGAGAATTCTGTGAATTCTCTTGTCAGATTTTGGCTGTGGTCCTTGTTATTAGCTGTATCGGTGGGAATGTGTAGAAGAATTTGTTCTCCTATAAGACCATGAGTGCACCCCTGATCAAATCCAGGCCAATGCCCACTCGGGAGCAGTATGTCCTGCAGACAGAGCTGTCGTGAGTCACAAACAAGTCTATGTCTGGTGTCCCCCAGAGTTGAAACAGATGTGGACAAACTTGTCAATCCAGTTCCCACTCATGCATCATTGACATGTGTTTGCTGAGGGAGTCGGCTTCCTTGTTGTGGGTGTCTGTGAGATGGATAGCTTGAGGAGTAATCCTGTGAGCCATGCACCAGTTCCACATGCGAAGGGCAAAGTGTGCCAATGGTACCGACTTCATACTTTCCTGTTTGTATATGTAAAAGATGGTCATAACATTGTCCAATGCTATCTGGACCGTGTGATCTTGTAGGATGGTTTGGAAGGAATGTAGTGCTTTGAAGACTTCCAGCAATTCCAGGTAGTTGAATCAATTGACATGATGTCCCGCCGTGTTCAGCTGCTACCTGGAAAGCTGCATTGCCTCCCCGATGAAACGGCAGGCCAGCTCCCTTTGCTGGTCCAGGAGGAATGCAGCAAGGGACTCAATCTTCTGCCAGAGAAAGAATTGATAACGGGCCGTGGTGGCCTTGTAGTTGGAGACCTGAAGACTGAGTCCCATTGTGGCATAGATGTGGTGAGGCATCATGTCAATCTTTCTGCCCTCCTTATCAGCCGGGGTTTTGAGTGTTCTTTGCTTTGTCTTCCTTGGGAGGATTCGATAACCATCGAATTTGGCTGAAGGTGTTTGAGGAGGAACAGAATGTCTTGCTCCTGAACCTTGTACATTCCCTCCAGCTGCCTGGAGGTGGGATGTGGGTGGTTCAGAAGCTGCCAAGTATCAGTCATCACCTGCTGAAGAGTGGTGGTGAAAGGCAGAGCAATAGATGATGAGTCCTCTTTATGAACGATGTCGTAAATGTTGTCCTGGTAGGAATCTATTCACTGTTGTATGTCTATCTCCAGTGATTTGGTCATCCGGGAGAGTAGCTCAGAGAAGGTGCCCTGCGAGTCTCCAGGAGATCCAGGACCTTGGGTGGAAATGACAGCATCAGGAGATGTGGAGGCTTGTTGGGAATCCTCCGAGTCCAAATCCGAGATGTAAGGCGGACTGTATGAGGACCCATCAGGAGACGTTGGTGGACGGGTGAGTGCTGCAGCAGAAGTTGACAGGGCGTCCCTCGACACCGAGTGAGGGGTGCAATGATGGGGATGCATTGGTGGCCATGGGCAGTATCCATATGGGGGATAGTAATCCCATGGATAAGGCCGGTCAGAGCAGTCAGGATTGGATTCCCCGTACGGCAGGGGAACCCAGTACCATGAAGGTTGTGATGCAGAAAGCTGGGGTGGTAAGAGGAATGACGGGTGTTGAGGTGCCCTCAGAGATCCCTCTGGAGATGACTGAGCCATGAGCATAGGAGTCGGCGATCTTGCAGGTGGACGTTCTGGTCCCATCTGGGGGGGAGATTCATGGATTTCTCCATCAGAGATAGAACTTCTCACCAGAGGATTGGGACTGGAGTGCGGCGAAGTTGTAATCCGCAGAGGTGACGATGGAAGGGTCACCTGCATAGTAGACTGGTGGCTTGGAGTTTCGGCTGAAACTGAGATTGGGACCGAGATTGGTGTGGCATTCGGCTCCAAGCAAGGCACCTTGTTATGTTTTTTATGCCAGCGCTCCGATTTGTCAGGTCTGTCCTCCTTAGGATGCTTAGGCTTCGATTAATCCTCGAACCTGGCATGCTTCCTTTTCTCCTTATGCTTGTGGGAAGGAGAAGTGGAGGAGTGCTTTCCAGCCTTGCCAACAGGACTCCCTTCAGATGGACGAGCAGGGATGGATTTCAACATTCCAGAAGCTGCAGAAGAGCTGGTCTCAGCTGAGACCTGCTTCATGGTGACCAGTGCTTGGTCCCATAACATTTTTTGCAGCCTATTCTCACGGTTTTTGTGAGCCTGCCTGGTGAACGATTGGCAGTGGCTGCATTTATCAGTCCTGTGCCCTTCTCTAAGGCACAGAAGACACAGATCGTGAGGGGCAGTGGGAGACATCTTGGCTCCACACTGAGAGCACTTACAGAAGGCCGCCCGCTATGCCACTGAGGAAGAAATAGAGGAGACCAGCAAACGGAGCGAGTTTGTGGAAGAGAAGGACAATAGAAGGGAGTGTGTGTGTATTTGGAGAGGGTTAAGGGGGAGGGGAGAGAACAAGAAAATTAAGGGTAGGGGTTCGGTAAGGGGCGAACTGGAATAAAGACTGTAAGTTGTGAAGTGGACAAATAATAGAAAGCGACAAGATTTAAGAGATTACGATCAAGAAGTTCAAGTGGAGAGCAAAAAAGGCCTGAGGCATGGCGAACGGCAGCCGCAAGCAGACTGGGGAAAGGGCGGGCACTCCGACCATTTATACTATGGGGCAGGAAGTGTGGAGTTCCTGCCAAAAACCTTTAAAGCTATTAAATCTTCTTGACAACAGGCACTGAGCAGGTGGTGCACCCATAATGTGTGATGCACGGAGACCACGATGAAGAATTAAAGGCAGCGATAGGTGGAAATAAAATGTCATTCAGCAAGTCTACTTTTCTTCTTTTTTATTTCCCCAAAGCCATTTAGGAACTGAATGTCGAAATGCATTGTCTACAGATCAGTGATTTTAGACATGATCTTAACTGTTTTCTATGAATTTATAACAAGTTATATAGTTTCATGTTGATAGCATGGGTTGCAATTGAAGTAATGCACCGGACTGTCTAAAGCAGAAGTGGGCAACCTATGTCCATACACCATCTTTCACCGTTGGCTGTGCCAGCTAGCACTGATGGGAGTCCCAGACGAAGTATCTGGAAGAGCACAAGTTCCACATCTCTGGTCTAAAGGAGCCCCAATCTTCCATGAACAGAAGGGGAACACTTGGCCCAAGCTGTGTGTTTTTAAAGTGTGTTGTCAATTGCCTAACTTTTATGAACAGATGGGATAAAAATGTTCTAAATCAGTAAGATAAAACAGGAGATGAAGAAGAAAATTGTGAAGCCCAGAGTGGTTAAGCAATCTGGCATACAGGCAGAAACTTAAAGGGAACTCAAGACAGCAATATTGGTTCAAATAAAACATCTAAAGGCTGCTGTCATGGAATTAGCTCATTCTCCAGGGCCAAAAGTTCAAGGACATCAATACACTATGCTTCATGGAACTGATGCCCTACATGGAAGCATCTTGGGACAATTCAGCCACTACCCTGATTTCTCAGCTGCTGATCTCTGGAACAATGGCTGTTTAGTTTTTAAGAAACAGAGACTGCATTACTTTACCATGTGGTGCTTCTCTTTTTAAGTCTCTGCAAATATACAGTAGAAAATGAAGAGGTGAAATTATAACAAACTTCATTTTTTATTACTGGCAGCAGCTCAGCAAGGTTTCATACTAGTGTCTTTTCCAGGCCTTCCTGGAGATGCCAAGGACTACATCTGGAACCTTCTGAAGGATCTGTTACCACAGATTAAATGCTTCCAATTAACTCAAAGTGGCTTACAACTCATAAACATCAGACCACAAAGCAACTGAGTGAAAGTCAGTCATCATAAAACAGAATTGAATAACCCAACATAATAACAGTAGCCACAGAAATTATAACCCCTACTGCAAAAATATGGTAAATATAAACCCCAGCTGATTCCAAAAAAGCCAGGTTTGCAAAGCCAGGTTTTGCATGATAGAATCTCAATGTTGGGGCTGCCTGGGTCTCCCTCAGGTGCCATTCATGACTTTGCCATCACTACTGAGAATGCCATGCTCCTCGTGGGCACCACCCCGCCGCGGTGGGTCTGATTTGCACAATCGCAGGGTGGTTAACCACCCACAGAGGCTTCTTAACCGCTCTGGGTGTGCTGCCACATGCCAGTATGGTTAGCATAGTTACCCTTAGCAGTGTGGCTTGTTGTGTCATGAGAGCCTACAGCAACAAGCAACCGTGGCTTGGACTGCATGCAGCACTGAGCATGCAATGTGAAGGAGGTTGGTTCCTCCAGCGTGTGACTAGTGCACATCGTGGGATGAAAATCCAGCATGGTTTACTTCCCTAGCTGCAGTCCTGTGACCTGGATTAGAGCAGGCTCACAGAGCTGGATCTCAGTGTTGAACGGAGTACATGAGGATGCATTTTGTCCCTGCTGCTTTTGCTTCTGTCCCCACCCTTCACTGAAATGTGCCTCTACTCCCCACCCCCCGAATTTCTGCAGAATTGCATTAGGTCTTTGTGCTGAAAGAGGCTCCTCACTCCTGAGCCAGGGGGTGCCTTTGCTTTTGGATTTTAATGGCTGTTTAAAGTCTCTTCATATTAGAGCTGATTTTCCCATTTTAGAAGTAGTTGTTGCTCATTTTGTTACAGCTTACTACATAAATCTATAGTGTGCACACCACACCTCTGGTAAATGTCCATGTTTGTCATCATGGGAGCATGTGAATGAGGATGGGCAAGAACAGTACCATGCTGCAGAATCACGATCAGGGCCTTATATGTCTGGTCAACAAAAAGAACTCTACTCTTACCCATGGCAGGAGTTGCTAAGGTCTGTCGTCCTACAAGTTGGGCAGGTCCAAGCCCATCGAGGAAATCACTAAACTGACTGTCAGCCCCCAGTCGAACTCCAGGAAATATTAGACTGTAGTAAAACAAACAGAGCAAAACAGAAAGGGTTCTTAGTGGTTTATTATTCTTTCAGAAAGCTCTTGTGTTCCCAATTACACAGGCACGAAAAGTATACAAAATGAAGAAACATGCATTGTTCCTTAACAGATCCAAAACTATACCTTTGTTCTACAGTGGATGGAATAATATGCCTTCATTCCATAGCAGATCCATCATTGTGTCTTCACTGATTTAAGCAATGCTTGGAGAGAGTGCCAGTAAAGTGCAGTCTTTCATTATGAAGTTGAAAAATACCGGAATGTATTGTCTAGTATGCGATACAGTCTGCCTCTAACCTGCAGTAAGTGGCGGAGATTTCCCACATTGGGAGCGACATCCCCATGCGATTGAACACACTTCATGAATACTTTGAGTGCTGCAGTTCTGAGAGGACGAAGCAAGGCAAGGTTGGCCCAGGAGCTGAAGGGGGCAGCCAGCAAGGGCACCCCACCCCTCCCTCGAAGCGCACTAAGTTCCAGGCCAGGTGGGCTATTCTGGCACATGAGCAGAAAAGCTCACAAGTGCCTCTTTACCTTTGGCAGCAAAAGCACAATGGGAAAATGTTCACTGAAATTTTCTGCCCTTTCATGACAAGCCACAATCTGATGTGGCCACCCCACCGCCTCAGGCTAGAGCCAGCCACCCTGCAGGAAAGGCCAGCCACTTGTTTGGGAAAGGGGGCCACCAAATATGTGTGGCATCGTCAGGTTGGGCCACCCTGTCCCTCTGGGGCAGCACTGCAGTAATTGCTTTTTTAAACAGACAAGTTGCTTGCTGGTCCATGTCCTTGCTTTGTTCTGTACTGATACACACTTGAGGCTTGAACATGAAACAGATGTGATGCTGAGCACCACTGCCATTTTTCTGCCCAATTAATCACTTTATTATTCATCTATTTTTACCTCATCTTTCTACCAAATTTGGCACTCAAAGTGGCTTAATATAACTGGCATAATTTGAATATTATTTTCATAGATGTTACAGATGATTCTGGATGATTTCTTCAAACTGGACTAATTACAGGTATAACTTTGCTAAAATCTCAAAAGACATTCACAGATGAAGAATCATTCAACATATCATACAGCTTAATGAAGGTTTTGTCTTCATGAGGATTGCTGTCCTGATCCTGAATCAGATTCAGCTTGCTAGTGACTGCTCCATACAGAAGTTCAACTTTTGCCAAATATGTGCCTCAGTGTAGCCCTGAAAACTCCAGCAAAAACCCTGAGCATTCAGGGGTTTAAGACAAAATTATGGCACCTGACATTATATGATTCTCCCTCCTCCAAAAAAAAAGCCCTCATGAATATGTTAACTTTCTTATCATATCATAAATGCTAACATTTCAAAATGGCAATTTCTGCTCAAATTCTATTCCTTCAACCAGGCCTTTTCTTGAACTCTGTGTCAGCCAAGGCTTTCCAGGGCTCCGTTTTTTTTTTTTTTTTTAATATCAGGAGAATCCAAAGCGATTGCCCCAACACATACGCAAAACACAGTTTCTTCACAGTCCCCTCCCACACGCCTCGCAATCCATTTCTCTGGAATATGTTGGCAGGGCTCTTAGGTTAGGGCTCTTGGCATTTGGTCTGCTCTTTTCTCTCTAAGTTGCATAGACTTAATTGCTGCTACCTTTATCTCCCTCTCCTCCCTTCTCAAAAAGTGCTTATCCACCGTGCAACCTCACAGCTGGGTCATCTCCGCACTCCAACCCAGCTGCAGTGAGAACAGAAAGCAGCATCCAGAGTGGGACTGCTCAGCCACTGAGCTCTGGGCTGCCCCAGTAGCCCTGGAGTCAGTAGAGCCCCCTTCCCCACCGCCCATTTGCCCAGCAAATGGAAAGGGCCCAGCTACAGGAGTTGGCACTTACTTCCCCTCTGAACTGTAACTGTTGATGCTTCCATCAGTTGATTCGCGACTTGGTTGCCGGACCATACGGCTCCTCATTTCTGCTGCCATACCCGTTTCTGTGCTCCTCTGTATCGTGCTTTTTAGTTTCTTGTTGCCCGTCTCTAAAAGAAAGCAGAAAGAATAGCAATAATAACGATGATGGTGGTGTGAATGATGGAGAATTGACAGGGAATTCAAATCTAAAAATATTATTGATCATTCACATGGCTGGACAAAAACTGCAACCCTATACATAATTAACTGGCAGCAAGTTCCACTGAAGATAATAGCACTTACTTCCAAGCTGACATGCATAGGAGGCTCTGTGCATGCCGGCCACTCTGAAGAATGGTGATCCCATTCTCCCATTCACTTCTCTGCCCCATTTAAGAGCAAGCAAACACTAGTGCTATTGTGCTACTAACTGTCTTGATCTTCCTCAAGATGTGTGTTTTTTGGTCCATCTTGCTGGCTTATTTATTCTACTGAAGTGTCTATGTGAGAGTGCACGCAACAATCCATGGCTCACTCTTTTCACAGCTGCACATGCTGTTATAAAGATTGTAGATCCCACGCTGGACTTGTCAGAGCAGCCAACCGTGCACAGTCTGCGTGTACACAGTTTATAAGAGGTGCATATAGCATTTGTGTGATGCTCCATCCACTGAAAGTAATGGCAAGACCAGGGTTAGTTTTCAAAGAGTTGTCTTGCCACCATAATCTTCTGTGCTGAGTCATAAAATAGATCAACACTTTTCAAGCTGAATACCGGTAAATCTGGAATACTGCTGCTTCCATCTCCTCAGTGGAAAGTTCAGCAGTGGTGGAGACGCTTCCCTGAAAGATAGCTTGCTCAACACTGCGGATCTCAGGAGCACAGAATGTTACCCTTTCGTGGGCCAGACCATCGGCCATGTGGCCCAATATTGGCCAGCAGCAATGGCTGTCCACAGTTTCAGGTAGGATTCTTCCCCAGCGCTACCTGAAGATGTCACAGATTGAGCATGGGCCCTTCTGTGTGCAAGAACCTGCTCTGCACTACAGACCCTTCCTGTAATGTGCAGCCACAGAGAAGTGCTGGGTGTGATATAAGAAGCTCTCTCCATTTTGTGGTGAAGTTCAGCAGGTCTAATCAGTGCCCTGCATCAAGACGGTATGCTGTGTAAATCTTTGCAGCATACAGAGATTCCATGGTTGAGGTTCAGGATTCCCCTGTGGAAACCGAGAAGAAAAGGTTTCTGGAAGATAGGGAACTCGGCCAACATTCTTTCCTAAGCACCCAGCTGGGCAGTCAGAGCTATGTTTCTTGGTGGCAACTCCTAAGGTGGTTTGCTGAAGGACTAGCAGCCTCTGCCACCAAGCGCTGCTGTTTGCCGCTACTGCTGCAAAGCAGCAGCATAGGAACTATCAGGCACAGGGCGGAGTGGCTGGTGTGCAGCAGGCCCAAACCTGCATGGTGCTGAGCTAAGTCTCCATTGTGCTACCTTTCCCTCCTCCAGGCCACTTAGCAGCACTCAGCAGCAGCTGCAGCTGACAGCCCTCCAGCAAGCCACCCAATGGGCCCCTGGTGATGACTCGGCCTTTTAGTTGCTGTGACGCAAGCAGAAGGCATCCTGTGAAAACCAAAAGGGCAAAATGGAGGATGGGACTCTCTGGAATTAACCCATTTGACCCTCACAGACACTTTGTGAGGTATGCTAGAGAGACAGGAACTATCCCAAGTCCATACAGAAGAACACTTCAGGTGTGATTCTCGACTCATGTCGACACTATCCAGGGCACCGCACAGGCTTTTTGTAGGCTCCTCAGATGCACAGGAATCACACCCTCTGCTCTGCATCCCTTTCTGTTCCTCACTCACAGAAAGAGCAGACAGACATGTTGCACACAGGTAGCCGTTGTCTCAGTGTGTGCGAAGGGATCAAGGGATGCGGATGTCTTCCATTCTGGCAAAGGTTCCCTTGAATCCAATCAGCAGTTGAGTCAAGCCATTTGAAAACAAATCCATTAGTTGAACACCTCAACAGGTGTTCATCAGTTGAATACCTTAACAGCATTCTTAAACTCAGGAATTCTGCAGATAGCAAATATAAACACCCAGCATACATACGTTTAATATGATTTCCACAGGGAAAGGCAACAACAACAATGGGTTAGTAAAATTGATTTTCATTCACTTGTTTTGATGACAGATATGTGAAAGGTCATTTTAAAAAGGACATTTTAATGTTTCCCCATCTGAGCATGTCATTATCAGCATAGACATAATCCCGTCGATCCACAGAATGAACCTGTTGATCTGGGTTTTGTTTCCTTTTATGCATAATGTTTGCATGGTAAGTCCCAGGTCCAGCCATATTACAAAATTGTCTAATGGCTTTAAAAGCATCTGCCAAGTATAAGAACACCAATCTTTTCCACCACGTCATGACTCAAAATATTACTTTGCCCATCAAAGTTCCCTCTTCATATGAACATGAAAGTGTGCCCACAGTATTGCTGTAAAATGCTTGAGATGTTAAAATTCAAGAACTGAAAGATGCAGAGCCAACTGCAAGGGCATCAAGATCAAATCAGCATCATGAATTTTCACCTTAGTACTTCTGTAGGCTGGTGAAATTGGTATAGCGTGAGAGTCTAGAATAAATTATAAAAACAGATAAGGAATCTGTAACATTCATAAATTTATACTCAAACCAAACCAAGATTGTGTATCTACTCAGTCATGTATGTTGAGCACAGGACTTAAATGGGATTATGGCTGAAACCCGGATTTGTCTTCCAGACCTTTGATCATACCAGTACCTTATCCACATACAACAGGGGACCACAACTGGATTCTAGTTTTAGAATATCATTGTTCCATATTCAATAAATGTAAGTCCAGCACTCTACCAAAAGTAATTAGACATTTCTGCTATATGCTATATGAAGCTGACCCTTGAACACATGCTTGTAGCACATACCCACACACGGACACAGGGGGTGGGGGTGGGGGACAGGAGGAGGCAGAGCCCTCCTAAGAGTGGTGTAAGTCCTGACATTGTGCCCCCAATGACACAAATAAAGAAAAAGCCTGGTGCGGTAGGCAAGGCTGCTCGGTATTCTATCAGTGCATCAATTTTCATTAGTGCTTAGACATTTTTATTTTCTAATGCAAGTCTGGCTACTATGGTAATCACATGTCAAAAATATTGTATCTTCTTATTGGCTCATTAAATAGACAGATGTAAAAATGTATGTAAAAGGTAGGCAACATTCATCATATCCTGATTAGTTTGATCTGTCACCCTCATTTCTGGGATGTCTGCACATGAGTGCAATCACACACACACACACACACACACACACACACAAAGTCAGGATCCACTGAGCCAAGTGCTGCATGTATGGAGTTGGGCTAAAAATGCTACACTTTTGAAAACAGACTGGCAGGTTCCTTTAACAAATGTTGAGGATAATTTATACAGGAGTTCTTATTAATACAAATAAGTACTAGCACATGGATACAGAAAAATAGTGAATTAAATATCTAAAGGTAAAGGATAAAATGGGGATGTACGTATTCCATTGGCAATTTTTTAAGTTGGTCAATTCGCAGACATCCAATTCAAAGCTTTCATACTATAATTAAAAGTTCCAGAAGAGGGAAAAAAATGTACTTTTTGCATAAGTTGAAAAAGGATTATAACAACACTTTATCTTTCCTTGCATAAAAGACAGTTTAAACTAAAAATATGCTGCTACAACATATGAAGGTCTATTGCCAGGCATGCATGCATGTGTGCACGCACACACACACACGGTTTTGCCAAAGTATCAAGTAAGCATTTCTGACTACGTATCAGTTTTAGCAAGAAAATGCTTATTTGAAAAGCATTCCTATCTTGAGCACAATGATTTGGTATATGTATTGCTTTGGAAACAATTCTACAAGTAAAATTAAAACGCAACCCAGGAGATACATTCTCTGTCCCCCAAGTGTCGATTTTTAGGCCACCAGTGGAGATGAATCAGGTGCCAGGTTCTGAATGTCAATATTAGTTTAAATCATAATCAAAATGTTGGGGAACAAATCACCAGCAATCATAGAATAAGACATCAATGCGAATTGAGGGATTGATTCATAAAGTCATACTCTTTTTCAGGAAGTGAAATATTATCTTTTTTGATATGTTGGTGTGTCAGATACAGAGATTCACATAGTTTATCTTGCTCTTGACCTGGGCTTGTACCACTTAGAATGAGGAAGCTGTCCATCTCATGCTTGATGCTTTTCTATTGATTGACAACCTATAACAATCCAAAGACAAGGATGGAATAGTCCAAGAGCATGGGTTGCTGGAGCAGCCGGTGATGCGCTGGCCCTGCAGCAGTGCTGTCAGGGGAGGAGCTGTGCACTGTCATCATTCGTATTGCTCTGAGTGGCTTTAACCAACGCGGAGACCTTTGCTCCCTCTCGCCCACTTTTCCATGGGAAGAACGGCTGTGTGTGGAGACCAGTTTTCACCAGGTTGGATAGTTAGCTATTTAATTTTTTAATGGTACTTTTCAATGTACACCTACAGAGTTCCATAGGTGTAATTAATAATGCATTTTCTATTAAATTACCTGTATGATTGGTCCTTCAGAGCTGTGCACAGCAGGATATCTTTGTAGTTCTACAAGGAGGAGAGACTAGGGCTAGGGATATAAGTGGTACGTTATCAGGCTAAGAGTAGCAGTTTTCATGGTTACTTTTGCTTCCTTCCTCTGAATGGCTTTTGCCCCTCTTTCTCTCGTTTGGCTTTGTTCAGTCAGAAAGTTTCTTCCTCCCCATCCACCACTGTTCCTCCTGACAGCTCTAAAACACTCTAAAAATATACACAAATTTAAAAGCTGGAGTGGAAATTTGGACCAATTTAAGGTCTGCAAAGTCAGCGGAGGGGAAATGTGTGCATCTGTCAGGGATCTTGAGGGTCTGGGCTGTTCTAGGGCTCCAAGTGGTGGCCACTCACATCCGTATTCAGAGAATTAGTCCCATACACTGATAGAGCTCTCACAGCTTTCTCACAGAGGAGTAAAGTTGGAAGGGGCCAGAAGGCCATCAGGTTCAACCTCCTGCTATTGCAGGACACTAAGT